GTGATCATCATATTCACGGTCATCGTCATATTGAAGATCTCAGAAGCACTTTACTCACATATTGACCCAAATCTTTTGTAATGTCTTTAGTTCATATTTCAATGTTAGGGAATACAGCAAAAATGTGTTCCACATAGAATGATTAAGGCACTCAGTTCAAGGACTTTGAATAGGATAACAACAATTCAAATCCTGTTGTTAGTTTCAAACAATATCAATGACATTTAAGAATAATAATTATTTTACTTCTGTATCAATTTATTTCCTTCAATAAAGCAATTTATTTGCTAAATATATGGGAGTAATCAGGAAAGTCTGATGAGCAACTTTTCTGCAACTTCAAAAAAAGAACAATAATTATTTCCATAGCTACTTAACCATTTAGCTTGCATATAATTGTACTGCATTTGGCATCTAGAAGGCATGAGGACTGCCAATGAAGTCTGCCTTGGTACTGTGAGCATGAATAAACAGTACTGGGAGAAGTCAGAGTTATGGCACCATGCAAACAATTTCTATTGCAAGCATGAGACATAAAAAAAAAATTTGATCCAGCCATTAACTGTAGTTCAATTAATATGAATGAGCAGGCTTCTCAGTAACCTGGGATTTGGTTATTTCTAGTTAATTCCAAAAATGCAAGTCCCTTCCTCTTTATGGATAATGGTTCACAAACAATGAACCACGTCTCTTGGCACACTGTGGTTCTGTTTTCTCTTGCAAACTGTGTGTTACGTAGCCCTGTATTTTCTGTTGTTCACTGTTGTAACACCAAGCAGGAAGTATAGATCATGGTATTCTCATTAAAAAGTCCATCTTCTCTACAATCTTCGTAGTTGTTAAAAAAATTTTCTGATTAACTTTCCATCTGATCTGCCAAGTGGATGTAAACAATCCCATAATACCATTATGAAGAGCAAAGGGGATCATTTCTGGTGTAATATTCCTGGCTGATATTTGTCTCTTAGCCAGACTGACTAAACCTAAGTTATCTGGCCATTATCCCTTCGTGGGACCTGACTGTGTGCACATTACCAGCCTCATTGCAATTCACCAGTGATTACACTTCAAACAGGACTTATTTAGCTGTAAAGCACTTTGGGATGCCCTGAGGTGGTGAGACCTATCATATAAATTCAAATCTGTCTGTTTGCAGCTATACAGCACTGTGCTGAGAACACAGGCTTTGACTATAAACTGTCATCTTGTGCCCAAGGGCCAGCTTGGTGTTGTGCACATTTTTCAAAATTGCCAAAAAAGTGTTTGCTACTTTTCCAATGAGTGTATCATGCATTGCATCAGGGGACAGTTTATCTGCTACTATGGGCCAAAGGTAGCAGAATTGGCTAATCACTTCCAGTCATGTATTATTTAGCACGATCCTGGGGTAGCAATGCAACATCTTATCCCTTGATCATGGTTTTCTTAATACTTGTAGTCAGGGAGAACATCTTACAGGCTTGGGACAGACAATCCATTCGACTTTGTAGTTGAGTTGCCAAGTGAGCGACTGGTGGAGATTTGTCAGGGTAGAGAGGTTCCCTGATCAGAATTCCTTCAACCAACTAAGCTACAGACAGGTAGACTTTCATCTGTCCACCTAATACCAACCTACAGGTTCAAACAGCAGATGTGAGCATTGCTTAAAACCGTACCTGGGTTGTACAGCAACGAGAAAATAACCATTTGGTTTGGAAATTAGAATATTAACACTATGTGTCTTGGTATAACCAATGACCCAGCAGCAAGAATAAGCAAGACACACCTATCTGCAACTTGTAGGACTGCAACTTGAACTAATGAGATTATGATTCAGGTTAAAGTTAAATAGAATTGTGATTTAACAGTTCCATGGGGAGAGAAAACTTTCTCTAGCACATGAAAGCTAAAAATCAGGATTCCAAAACCTTCATAAAGTCATTGTGGTTTCGTGACTTGTTTAATATTATGGTATTAGAGCTGTACAGTTCATCACAAAAATGAATGATTTCTTAATTAAACTTAGGGTTGTGGACTGCCTTAAACTGGAAGTTAATTCCAAATGCCAACTGCCAGTTCCATAGTATTGGACTCATTTTCCTTGGGGCTGGAAGAACTTAAAGTATTACAATCACATGAGTAAATTTCAATAACAAAACTCATAAGACTTTGAAGTAGTTTCCATCTTCTGTCTTGGGGAGTTCCATATTTCTAAGACTGGACGGTATTTTACACGGAACAGCAAAATCAGCACAAGATAACAGTAGCTGCATCACATATTCCATTTATTTTATTGTACAGATGGCACAAAGCCCATTTTACAAACATTTCCTTACAACATATAAGAATAAATTAGTCAGATGGCATTACAGTTGTAAAAAGATCACATTACTTTTATGTACTGTCAAAAATATATTTCATATATTATTTGACTTAACATAACTTACCACATCTTATAAAGCTAGAAAAGTAACTTGCTACAGAATATTACACAGTGAAGCTATTCAAACATGCTTTCATCTACCAAACACAGAAACTGAGCTGTAAAGGGAACAACAAACACCAATGAGCACAGGGGAAGAAACATATTGGTTTATTTTCTTGCTTGTACATTGGTTTTATTTTCTTATTATGCAGTGTTAGTAAATTAGGGTGAATAATCCAGGACATTTAATGTGGAAATGGGGGTGCAGGCCTGACAGAGGAATGGTTTATGGGGAGGTGGGAATGGAGGCAGGAATGGTAGTACAAGCCCTGTGAAATTACAGCACTTGAACTAAATCACAGTTCACTGTTACAGCACAAAGCCCTCCAGATTGTTCATAACGACCACTGACAAAGATGGTTCTGTATGGGACAGTTTTAAATTGTTTTAAGTAAATTATGCTGAACTGTTGGCAATTCAAAACTCAAAATGGTATTTGCTTTTACAATAGTGTTACTTTTTTGGTTTTGGTTATTGCAGTAATAAGAATACGGAATACTGCTTTAATCTTTTATGATCAAGTATCAAATAATTTAGAATTTGCTCTGCAACACCAAAGCCTTTGCAAGAAATTGCAGACTTTGGCCAGCGAATCATGATATTAGATATGATTCTGCCATATGTTAATAATACCATGAACTTTACTGAGATTTACTAAGCATGACAGATTTGACCTTTGAGCTTGGAGCAAATCCTTCTATATCCTATATTGAAATTAGGCTTGTGCATCTAATTGATTGATAATTACTTTATATAGCTGCAACGGATGACTCAAAGTTTGTGTAGTACTGCATATTCTCGTTTGGTAAAGCCAAAATAAGTAGAAGACATTAATTTTGCTCTGAACAAATTGTATAAATGATGCACAACTGATGTAGTCACAGCAAAGTAAACAAACTATGAAGAAAAATATAACAGACAAACGTCAATCTTTTACAGATATTCTTCAGTCATTGAAGAATGATATTAAGTTGACAACCAAACAACCTGATAGGAGGTAGAGTTTCTAAGGTCCTATTAAAATTTAAGGACTTCATGTCTGTCAATTTTTGTTACTCTCTTACAAATGTATATTGAAGGAGTTCATGTCATCTACAAGAATTGTAAGTTACTAAACAGTTTCTAAAGTTCAGCAAAAATATGAGAATGAAGCTTCGATAAGATCTCAGTAAAAATTATCATTGGATGTACTTGGTTTATGCTACAGTCTTGCTTTCTGTCAATAACAATGACCTTAATGAATCTGATTAAATCACACCCAAAATACAGCAAACCACCTTTATAAGGCCCACAGGTACTATAACTTTCTCATCTAATGCAACTCACCAATGGCTCCATCAATCAGACAGAATACATAAAATGCCTGAGAGCTTAATTTTCTCTGCATTATTATCAATGCACTGGCTAATGCATTTATGTTAAATTTCTGTCTGGGCTATTTTAATCCAGTAGTTCTAACCTGTTTATTTGTTTATAGATTAATGACTGTGTTAGAATAGCAGACACCTTAATGCAAAGGTATTAACCAGTTAATTGAAAACAGTGCCCCAGGTGAAATGAGCCTCATTCAGATAAACATAGAAAATGCTGGCAATATGCATCATTCAACCAGCGCAAAAAAAAACAATGGGTTAACCTCAGGGTGAGAATATTTATCAGAACTCAGATTTCTGTTGAAGGGTCACAACAGAAATGTAAGCTTGTTTTCCTATTTTAGACGTTGTGAATTATAATTGCTCCTCTTACTGTTTCAGATAGCCAAGATCCATAATTTTTATTTCTGATTTCACATGTAAATCACTCTCCCTATAACACTCTCAGAGTTTTAGTGGTCAAAGGATAGAATATTATTCTTGTAAAAGGTACATCTTCAGCTGACTCCATTATGTATCAAGCTGCTCACTTTACTTCAAGCTTAGATACCTGAAGAATTGTTGAAGATTTTATGATGGGCTCTTCGAAAATTGCATTGATATCTTAAACCATTATTCTCACAACAGAATTGGTGCTTCAAAACCATATCATTTTAATGGAAGCTATTGCAAGTGGCAACATTAAAATTAACAGGAAATTAACACCCAATAGGAAGATTATTGTTTTGTTTTATTTAGCATTTCTAATCCTATTTGAAAAATGCTGAATAAAACTTTGCTAATAGATCATAGATAGCATTTATTAATACCTTTTTGCATATAATTTAAACAAATTGGAATGTAATACACAAGGACATCTGACAAAATGAATAGCTGGCAGAATCTTCATCTAAACAGATGACATCAATTTATTTCTGGCATAAGCAAAACTCCGGTGAAACGCGGAATAGTCCAACACTGTAGCCAATCCAGGTAGTTCTTGTGGATAATGTATGTGATTATTACAGAGTTTGTGCTTGCTTTCCTTTCTGGTTTCAACATGACCCTTGAAAACACATATCTATGCAAACAATTTTTGATGCACTATTTTATACATGACATGAAGATTTCTTCTGATAAAATTATCACTGTGCTCCCACAATGAATCTTTTCATCGCATAAGTTCAAAATGAATTCAAATACTCCAGTGCCACGTCGTAGCAGAATTTGTATTGCTCCTAGGAAAGAAAAACATACACTCCCTGTGAAATGCATTTCTTTCACATTTTATTTTTATTTATTCCTCTAAAACTGAAGACAATCAGAATTGGGAGAAAACTTTGCTAGAGATAAACTTGTAACAAAGGAAGATGCTTGCAATTGTTGGAACAGCTACACGTCTAAAGATATTTCGTCTATAAGGTCATTTTGTAGCAGTTATTGATAGTTGACACAACTGTGCTGTCCTAAGAAATTTCAGTGAAATGTTCTGGGGCTGAGATGGTTGACCAACTTACTTTGTACCAGATGTATTGTGCTGTGTGTTCTGAGTGCCCTGTACCTAACCTTGTCCTAGCTTCCAGCACTTAGACTCTCAGAACTAGGCATGGGCTCATCAGCGGTCACTATTACCCTGGTGCTGATTGGCTGGCGTTCTTTGAGGCAGAATTTCCACCCAAATAATTGGTTTGTGTTATCGCATTCTGACCTTATGATCAGTGATCCCTGTAATTTTCTTGCTGGCTGCTTGGGCCTCCGAGGGAACCAGAAGTCAATGCCATGATCTGTAGCATTGCTAACGACGGAGAGAAGGTCTCCGAAGGAGTAGCTGAACAGTTGGACCTAGGACACTACCCTGAGAAACCTCTGCAGCAATATATTGGAGCTGAGATGATTGGTCTCCAACAAGCACAATTTCCCTTTGTGCTAGAAATGACTCCAACTATTGTACAGTTTTCCCCTTCATCCCCATTGGCTTTAATTTTACTTGAAATCCTTGATAATGCACTCATTAAATGCTGCTTTGAGATCAAAGGCAGTTCCATTGCCTCCTCTCTACAATTGAGCTGTTTGCCCACATTTGAACAAAGGCTTTGATGAGTTCTGGAGTTCAGTGGTCCCGGCAGAATCTAAACTGAGCAGGTGAGTAAGTACTACTTGATAGCACTGTCAATGACATTGTCCATCACTTTGTTTATAATTGAGAGTGGACTGATGGGATGGTAATTGGCTGACGTACCTTTGTCCTGCTTTTTGTGGACATGCCAGGGCAATTTTCTACTTTAGTATTTTAGCAGTGAACTCTGCTCAGTTAAAATAATTTGACTAATGCCTGGAGTAACATGGTACACAGAGGATTGTCACTCAAAAGAGTTAAACAAGAGTTTGTGAATATACAAACAATCATTTTGAGACCAAAACACCTTTAGAGAAGTCCTTATGCATTAATCCAACACATAGAGAAGTATTTAAACTTACCAGTGTATCTACCATATTGGATTTGTTGTTTCGTAGTGTTTTGACTGTGTGAAAAACATCAATGATATTCTGTTGATGAATCATCTCACAGATACTACGAACTACACAAAGTGTTCCACTTCGCCCACCGCCATTGCTAAAAAAAACAAAAGGATGAGCATTTTGAGCAAGCAGGTGATGAAGTAAATTTCCATTTTATCCCTGTGGTCTGTAATATAGCATGAGAATTTATAATCACTCTTCTTTTTCAGTAGGTGGCATTTATAGCTCCATTTGAGCAGGTCGGTCACCTTAACACTGTACCTGACAATTTATGCGGTGATGAAGTTTGTGAGCAAATGCTGAATCATTGAATGCAGTTATGTAAGTTTGAAACATGATAAGGTTATTCCTTTTTTGTATTAATTTTTTTATGACAAGTTTAAATGAGGACAGCCAAAACTGAATAAATGAAAAGTTTTTCTTGCTCTGGGTTGTAAGTATCATAAATAAAACTTTATTGGGCAGCTTCATCCTAATGCTGAGCGATGGAGAATTCTCACAAAAATCCACCTAAATTCTGTTTTAACTTTCCATTTTATGTAGAAGTGTAGGATAGCTTATCTGTAAAGTGAGGGGTCTATGCTGTACAAATGGGATAAAGGTGGCAGGGAGGAATGAAGTCAAGAACATTTGGAAAGTTTTACTAGACATCTTGTTTGCGATATTTGTTCCATCACATTGCCTAGTATTCGCTAATGTTGAATGGTAGAAACTCCTGTCCAAATGGATAATAATTAACAGATCTCCTGTGGTGTTACATTGGGGAATTCAGCATCCAGGACAAGCAGAGTTAGAGAGCTGATTGAACATGAGAAGGAAAGTGGAAAGGGAGGAGAGGACAGAGAGGATTGGAGAGGTGTGCGGAGAGATGGGGTGAAAGAGAAAGCATGGGAAAGGCAAGTGCAAAAGAGGTTGGGCAGAGAGGAGATTGATGTTAACAAACAATTTGCGCAACCTGTTGTTCGTAACAATAAAAAGTGCTGTTTGTTGAATTAATGTTAAAAACATCTGAATGATGTGGATACTCACAAGCAGTGCACCACAGTGCGACCATCACCCCCATCATACTCCTCTTGCCATTTCTCCAGACGCCTTATCAGTTTCAAAAAGGAGCGTTTTGACACTGGTGTGTCCCTGTATGATGGCCAACCAATAAACTGGAACTGCTGCACGATACGGTATCCATCCTGAGGCTAGGAGACAATTTACAGAGGAAACTTAAAACACTAAACTAAATCAAACCTAAAACATTTGCAATCCAAGACCTTTCTACAGTTATAAAGCATTATAAATAATCGAAAATGTGTTCATTGAACGCACAATATAAACCAGTCTCAAGCTAAAAAAAAAAATGACATGAAGGCTACAGACACCATAACCACAGTTGAACACAGATGGGATCCATATACGATGCACAGTGTTGGCAAGTGTGCTAATGAAGCATCAAAATTTCTACAGCTGTTGAGGAGTGATGTGTTCATGTGGGAGTCAATGATAATAATGTGGCCTGGTTGCAGTGAGGAGAAGGGAGAACGTATCCATGGAAATTCAAAACTATGTCTACATACTACACGTAATCTGAGCATGGATTATTTGCCAGTAAATATGGGCAATGCCATAATTCAGTATCAGGGGTGTACCATTCTTTAAAGGCTAAAGTATTGGTGGATACCAAATTCTTCATTTTGATACTCCAAAGCACTGATACACTTAAAATGGATCAGATGAATCTAAGACAAATGCAGTGAAATCAGTCTTCACCAATAGAACATAGATTCATCATGAATCAACACCTGATTTTTCAAGATGCCTCAAACTCTTTCCACTGAAGTTCACTGAACGATGATGCAAACTCTTTAAGAAGATTTGTCAAGTTTCACCTTCTAAATCTGACAATAAAACTGATGCATTGATTAATAGGCTGTTGGTTCGCTACGTTCTAATTTGTGCTGCTGGTTTTGAAGAATTTCACCCTCAAGGAGTTAACAATTTGGAAAGTTTAACAGTGCAATCAGGAGAGTATGTTGGTTCAAGGCTTTGCTCAAAGGGTCTTGATAGATTTCTGACAATCACATGGAAGGTTTATCTGAATGACTAATTACATTCAGCAGTTATCTAGTTAATTCTACTTTAAATAGGAGCGAAATAATCCAGCATCATTTATGTCTTATCTTGAAATGAGCCAATTTATTCTCTATTTCTTGCTCCATTTGGGTTATTAATCATTCGCCTCCAGGTCATTGCATCAAATCCTTAGATTTTAGGGGCCCTTTCCACCTTAGCTTGAGGTTAGTTGCTGAATCCTTTGAAGATTTTGTTGCATATTTTCAAGGTTTTGTGGTCCATCATTTGTTTTGATTTCAGTTTCCTTCGTGTGGTGTTTTATGAAACTGTGAGGATATATCTCTGGAGTGTGGAAATACTTTTTTTTTGAGGGCATTAAAAAAAGAATTGTTGGAGAATTATGTGCATTACTTTGAAAACAGTTATATTTCATACCGTCACTTTCTAACTTAAGCTAAAATACAATGGCCCATATATTCCAATAGCCAGATGCTGTTGCAGCAGTCTAGACTGGAGATGTATGAGTCCATGCAGAATCGCCGACACAACTGATTCCATGGGAATTACCTGGGAAACTGAAGATTCCAATTGACAATTCCTATGCATTTGGAACCCTCCAAAAAAAAAAATAAACAGCTTAAAGTGAGATATTTTTTAGGGTTCTGATGCATATAAGCTTAATATCTACCTAGGAAACGTGAAAGGATTGATAACTCCAAGGTTGCTATTAAACTGAAGACCCAACTCACCACTGACACCCTCTCCCTACAACCACATTCCCACCCTCCACTCCGTTACCCCTCATCTGCAGGATCCAACAGCCCTTCCCCGCCCACCTGGAGACCCAGGAACAGTTGTTGTTGTGAAATGCACAGAAAAGCTTTGTTTGTGGTAGTCACCAAGTAGGATGTCATTGGTGAACTGGTTCGCAGTTCAAACAGATTGAACTTGTGGAGATTTAAGAAACAATCAGTTGCAAGTGTATGCTTTACTCCTGGAATTTGGTTTGGTGATGTATACGGGACAGAGTGGAACAATGTTCAAAGGCCACTACAAAATTAGGTTTGGCAGGGTGAGGTCTGCTGAAAAGCCAGGATGATCTTCAAGACTCCACATCTGCTGGGAATATGGAGTACAGCTTTCAATTGTGTTGATGAGTTAACTAATTTCTGCAGTTTGGTGAATTGGGTGGCATGGTGGCTCAGTGGTTAGCACTGCTGCGTCACAGCTTCAGGGGCCTTGGTTTGATTCCACCCTTGGGCGACTGTGTGGAGTTTGCACATTCTCCCCGTGTCTGCATGGGTTTCCTCCGGGTGCTCCGGTTCCTTCCTACGGTCCAAAGATGTGCAGGCTAGGTGGATTGGCCATGCTAAATTGCCCATAGTGTTCAGGGGTGTGCAGATTAGGGAGATGGGTCTGGGTGGGATGATCTGTGGGTTGTTGTGGATTTGTTGGGCTGAAGGGCCTGTTTCCACACTGTAGGGATTTTATGAAAAAAAAAGTTGCCAATTTATATTTAATCTGTGTTGTTTTTAGTTGACTTGTAAAAGCACAAGTCTTGAACAATGTAGTTCCTGGAAATCTTTTCCAAAGTTATTGGCCTTTATAGGGATCGTAACATTATGTACGTTTGTCTTTATTGACTACAATTGTAGAATTTTGACTGATGAACCTCACCCTTTTGGATGCTACTGATACTAAGAATTCTTAATAGCTTGTCAAATGACGAGGAGCTGTTGTTTGCTTTTCATAACAACTAAAATAATTTAAATATACTGAGTCAGTGGAAAGATGGAAAATGGCGAGAATGACAATGGGAACAGAACCAAATTGATGAACTTCAGTTAGGAAACTGTTTTTTTCCTGTTTCTGTACCAAAAAGTTGTAGTGTTACAAAATAATTTCATTTGACCTTGGTCTTAGCCAGTTTTCAAGAAATGATTCACAAGACACATAGCCAAATAAAATCAATAGCGGAATGTACTTCAGTAAGTGAGTTGCTGGGAGCCAAGGACAACTGTTAAAAAGGAATTATTCACCACCCATCTTTGTAGTGCTGCAGAGATGATGGCAGTGTTGGAAAGCCGGCCACTGTTCACATAATACAATTTCAATAGCATTAATAAATAAAATTTTAAAACTAACAGGTAGCCAGATTTTCTGAATGAAGAAGGTTTAAGACTCATGCTGTTCTAGCTCTCAGTTTGAGCATACACCTTTTAGATATTTACAGTTACATTTTTACGATCATTTTAAAGTAAAAGGTAACTTTTGCTCTGCTGTGCTTAAAACAAATAGATAGGAATACATATTCTGTGTCAAGTTACAGATCTCTGCCATTATTGAGTAATGCTTCAAAATGGGAATGAAACTCTGCAAAAGTTTTACTGCTTAACAACTAACTGCATTGCAGTAGCAACCAATTTAAGGTCTATTAAACAGACAGCATTCTTAGGAATTGTGAGGAAACAGCGCAAATATATTTTATAACTTTACAAAAGGTTTGCTTTTGAACACTTTTTAAAAAAAGTTTCCTGTATAATTTTAGTTTATGACTCAGTAGAATTACAACTACAGGAATATTCACTATGAATAGGTCTTGAAATTTTAGTCTTACTCGTGCCATATTGTAGATCCGAAAAACTCGAACAATGATATCCTCTTCAAAGTCTGCTGAAATGAATTCCACTTGAATGGGACCATAGCAACACAGACTTTTCTCTGGCCAGTACTGAATGCAGAGCTGGTTAAAAGACACAAGCAGTCATGAACTTGACGCAAGACACAGGCCTCAAAGTCTTTACATTGAGGTTCATTACCGTCACCGTCAATATGGAATTACTTGTGGGTTCAAAATAATTACTTTTTGAATGGCCATGTCATTGATAGGCCTCCTTACTCTGAACATTTCTTCACTTGTGCAGATCTGAATGAAATCATTTGGGTGCAAATAATTATAACAGATTGAAGACAGAGGCTAGAAATTACTATTGGCTACATTGGCAGATGAATATTTAGTACATCGATCATTCCTACAGAATGTTACCAGAGGTTAACTGTAAGGATGAGAAGTACTTTGTTAAAAAAGATCTCCCAACATTGTAATCTCCCAATGTAACTGCTTTTCTTTAGGTGGCTACATCTCTTTAAGTTATTCCATTTCCTTTTTAATGTTGGTTTCCACACAACTTCTCACATAATACTAGTCCTAATATAAGTTAGGAGCCTTCTGCCACTTTGTAAGTTAAGTACCTATGTAATATCAGGCTGAGATGGTGTATTAAAAGTTGAGAGCATGTAAATAAGGACAATCACCACATCTCCCTCACCTCCCCAAAATAACACCTGACAAAACCATACACTTTTTAACTTTCCACATTACAGTAGAAAGTAGCAGAACGAGAATGGATATATTTGGTGGATCCTGTTTATTTTCCCTACCTGTGCAGCATCAAGTTCATTCAACATTACGATTGCTGAGCAATGGTAATCAAACACTAGTCTCCAGAAATCGGTCACAGTATTTGGTAAAGGGTGCTGTGTGACAATAAAGGCCGCAGGCTGCTTGTGGCTCTGAGAAAGTGACAAAAAGCAAGTTTCTCAGTTAACTCTGTCATGTGTAGCTTTGTTCATTTCAACGCCGTCAAAAAAATCAGTAACACAACTTTTACTTTAAAATAATTTTGAGTTGAGTCTAAAATTTATTATTTGTCTCCCTGAGATCTATGGAGAATTACTGACATTGTAAATTTTACATGTATATCATTCAAGATAAAGATAGATAGATATGGGAAATACATCTGAAGTCAAGTGAAATTGTGTAAACAAGAACTTTGATTGTTGAATTTATAAAGGTGCAGACCATCAAGGTGTTGATTCGAATTCCGTAGTGAGAGTTTATCACCTGAAGAACATTGAGTGCAGGACGGAGCTTATTATCTAAAGAATGGACATGATTGAGTGATGACTATCATATTAATGATAATGGTCTAATAATCATTTGCTCATCAGGGATTGACTAATTCAATGGGTTAGTTTATTTAAAACTGTAAAACTCATTACAAGTATTGGAAACGACATTATGGCAACTAACTGATTGCTGAATGTGCAGCTCGCTGATTAACTGTCAGGCAGAAACACGACATTGTATACACAGTGAACATTGATCTGTTAAATGTAATTTTGTTTAAAGGCAAGGTAAAAATACTGCAATGAGTGGAGTACGTTTTTAGTATAAAGAGGGAATAGAGGAGATGACAAGAAACATCTAAGCTAGTGTAGGGGACCAATTTGAAAGGACACAGAGGTAACCATTACCATAGGTTCAGGAGCATTCCATTTGCTAATTTGCTTAGAAAGGTACAATTCTTGGCCTTATCACAGACTGGCAGTAGGGGAGATTGAAGAAAACTTAATGGATAGGGATACTCTCAAGGATACACATTTGCAGATGGCAAGGAGGATTAACATTGGACCCTGTGGGCATTGAAAGACCCAGAGATCTGATGGATCTCTGGGTTTCACTCTGATGCTAGTCACAATATCAATACACAAACATATCTTTTGTTTGCTCCGATCAAAGAAATTGGAGTTGGATGTACCAGAAAGTTAACACATCTCTTTGGTGTTACTATTGGATTATAGTACCACTGGCTACAAGATTACTGACAGGGACAAGTGTTGTGCATTGTTTTATAATTGATTTCTTGAAGGAACACTTCAGTTCTGAATACAAACATACACTATATTTTATTAAAGTGAAATGTAGAAATGTCCATTTTATAAAAACAGGTGGTAGATGGAATTTAACCCTGATAAATGTTAGGTGATGCATTACTGTCTTTATTTACTTGTGGGAAGTGGGGATTGCTGGCTGGGCCAGCATTTATTGCCCGTCCTTAGTTGCCCTTGAGAAGTCGACGGTGAGCTGCCTTCTTGAAATGCTAGAGTCTACGTGCCGTAGGTTGGTAGTGCCACACAACACAATGGAGGGTACCCTCGATGTGAAGGCAGGACTTTATCTAGGTAAGGATTGTACAGTGAAACCCTCTAACCAAAACTGTTAAAGACAGATGAATCTGCAGCTGGCAGATTGGTAAGGATGAAGTCAAGTATGTTTTTCCCTCTTGTTGGTTCCCCCACCACCTGCTACAGACCCAGTCTAGCAGCTATGTCCTTTAGGACCTGAACAGCACTGTCAGTACTGCTGCTGCTGAGCCACACTGGTTGATAGAATTTTGTGCCTTTGCCACTCTCAGTGTTTCCTCCAAGTGGTGTTCAACATGAAGGAATGCTGATTCATAAGCCACAGGATGGTGGTACGTGGTAGTCAGTAGGAGCTTTCCTTGCCCATGTTTAATTCAAAGCCATGAGATTTCATGGGGTCCGGAGTCAATGTTAAAGACTCCCATGGTGACTCCATCCCAACTGTATACCACTTTGCTGCCACTTTTGCTGGGTCTGTCCTGCCGATGGTTCAGGACATATCTAGGGACGATGATGGTGGTGTCTCGGACATTTCCTTCAGGTATGATTCCATGAGGCTGTATCAGGCTGTTGCTTGATATTCTGTGAGGGAGCTTGGGGTATCTGCGAGACAGCTCTCCCAATTTTGGCACTGGCTCCCAGATGTTAGTAAGGAGGACTTTGCAGCGTTGACAGGCCTGTTTTTGGCATTGTCTTTTCCAGTGCCAAGTCAATGCCAAGTGGTCTGTCTGGCTTCATTTCTTTGTTGAGACTTCATAGCGATTGGTACAACTGAATGGCTTGCTCAGCCCTTTCAGAGGGCAGTTGAGAGTCAACCACATTGTTATGGATCTGGAGTCACATGTAGGCTGCATCAGGAGACAATGGCAGATTTCCTACTCTGAAGGACATTCGTGAGCCAGATGGCTTTTTCCAATAATCAACAGTGGTTTCATGGTCATCAGTAGATTCTTAATTCTAGATTTTTAAAAACTGAATTCAAATTCTACCATGTACTGTGCCGGAATTCGAACCCGGGTCCCCAGAACGTTACCTCGGACTCTGGATTAATAGTATCAGTAGGCCATCACCTCTCACTTTGGGTGAAAGAACAAGAAGAGGAATTACTCAATGAATGGCAAAACATTAAGAAGCTCAGAGGAACAAAAGGGTTCTTGTTCACAGATCCGCAAAGGTGGCAGGACAGGTAACAGGGTAGTTCAGACAGGCATATGGGACACTTAAAGTTTTTGAGAAGATTTGCAGCTTGGGTTGTGGATGAGGTTGTAGACTTGCTCGCCAAGCTGCTGTGTTTGATTTTAGACGTTTTACCACCCTGCTAGGTAACATCATCAGTGCGCCTCTGATAAAGCGTTGGTGTTCTGTCCCACTTGTTATTTATATGACTCAGTTGGCTTGGGTGGTCGGCATCACTTCTGGTTCTGCTTTTCAGTGGTTTGTTCGACTGGAGCAACACATCCATAATAGCAGAAGCCAAGCAGAGACATGTCAGGGAATTCCTCGAGGCCTGGCATTCCAACCGGAACTCCATCAACATACACATTGAACTGGACCCAATATACAAACCACTGAAAAACAGAACCAGAAGTGATGCCAACTACCCCAGCAAACTGAGGCATATAAATAACAAGTGGGACAGAACACCAACGCTTCACTGGAGGCGCATTAATGATGTTACTTAGCTGGGTGATGAAACATCTGCACTGAAACCCAACGGCTCGGTGCACAAGTCTACAACCTCATACGGGACGCTTGTCTTTATCAGTCGATAGGAAGGATGTGATTGCACTGGAGGGGGTGTAAAGGAGATTTGCCAGAATGTTGACTGAGATGGAGCATTTCGGCTATGAGAAAGGCTGGGTAAGCTTGGGTTGTTTTCTTTGGAGCAGAGAAAGTGGAGCGGAGATCCTGACAGAGTTAATAGTATTATGAGAGATATGGGCAGGGTGAATAGAAAGTAGCTGTACCCGGTAGTCAAAGGGTCAATACCAAGGAGGCATAATTTTAAAATGCAAGGCAGGATGTTTAGAGGGGATTTGAGGAAAAACATTTTCACTGAGAGGGTAGTTGGGATGTGGACTGCACTGCCTGGGAGGTAGTTGAATCCTCACAAACTTTAAAAAGTACTGGATGAGCACTTGAAGTGTCATAAAATTCAAGGTTTGGGGCCTCGTGCAGGGAAGTGGGACTAATGTAGGCAGTAGTACACTTTTGGTAGTACAGCTGCATTTGACTTCTTCTTTACTGTATGATTCTGATTCTATGGGGGAACCAGCTTTCAATAGACTTTCTATAAGACCATCTATACCCAGTAAATCAAAAAATCAAATTGTAATATCTGAAGCAACTACTGAAAGAATATGTTTTTTGCTTACGTCCATGAGTGCAGCATTTATGTAGTTATTTGTTTCACCATCTACAGAAATAAGGAATGGGAGACATCTATCTGGTGGAAGGACTTCCATATTACGATTCTTGTCGTGATTGCGAGGTAATAGACCAACACTGCAATCCTCAGCACGTACACGGGGGGTTACGATATTTAATGTCTAGAAATGAAAATTACAAAGGAGAAAAGCTCAGCAATTGTCAACTTTCCTCTTTTCATTTACATGAATTAGCTGAAACGGTTTCATCCTCCTCCTAATTTTCTCCCCTAATTCTCAAAGATAGTATTTGGTGGAACTAAGAATTTCTCTAACTCCAATATGTGATAACATTGGAAATGATCAAGAAGGCAGTCCCTGGTTTTCTTCCTGTGTAAGAAAAGAAGTCTAAATACTCTGAAAAAATGAATGCAAGAAACTTTTGTGAACTCAGTTTTGGTTTTTCCTGCACAGTGATTTGAATTAAAAGGGGGATGGAACAATGGTAGCTCTAATCACTCTTTGTTGCCTTTTTAAATGCCGTTAAATTACTCTGTGAAACCAACATGTAACTCAGAGGCCAACTCGTGCTCAAACTGCCCAGGAACCTGGGATTTGCTATGAGTCGTCCAACTGAGGGAGCAGTTTCTGTCTTTTGTCCTTGACAGGTTGTCCACCTGAAAGTTAGACTGATCGGCATGTTTGGCTCCGGTAGATTAGAGAGGGTCTCAGAGGAGGCTGCAGGACCAGTTCAGGACGGAAGGAGGGTTTGGGTGGTCTGATCCCCATTGACACCATGATGTCTGACACTGCCAGCTCCAAACCCCAATCCTAGACTGTGTCCAATACCAGGTTACTGTCTGATCCTCAATCCTGGGGACTATGGTTGTGTGAGGCTGATCCTTGAGGACGGAGGAGTGGGTCTGTTGGTTGTGGTGTAGTTACTGGGCTGAGAGGAAATAGGCCTGCTCCTCTGGACCCAAAAGCAGAGCTGTAGAGGCACCCTATCTTCTCCTGAAGCTATCCTTGCCTCGATTCAGCTATTGGCTTTCCTGAAGTCTTGGAAACCCAATCAGTGACAATTAAATCAGTAAAACAGGTTGCATCAGTGCTAACAGACTCATCAATATATTTAAATTGCCAAGCCACATAATGGAAGTAGGATTGGTTGTCAGTACCTTGTCTTGCTTCTATTAAACCTGGTTTTTAATCTGGATGAGTTGACTTGAGATTAACATAGAACATAGAACATAGAACAGTACAGCACAGTACAGGCCCTTTGGCCCATGATGTTGTGCCGAACTTTTACCCTCAGTCTAAGGTCTATCTAACCTCCACCTCTACCTTATACTATCATACATATGCCTATCTAATTGCCGCTTAAATGCCCCTAATGAGGCCGACTCCACTACCCTCTCCGGCAATGCATTCCACGCCCCGACCACTCTCTGAGTAAAGAACCTACCTCTGACGTCTCCCCTATATCTACCTCCACTCACATTAAAACTATGCCCCCTCGTAACAGCTACCTCCACTCTAGGAAAAAGACTTTTAATACTTTGATCCAACTGCAACCCAGCCATTGCTAAGCATGAAATCAGGTACAAATGGCTGGAACATTTAATTTTCCATTTGAATATACAAGAAATCCTCTTTTTTTCAAAACTGCATTATCTCTAACCTTTCAGTGCAGATGTATATGCTTCGCTGGCAAGGAGAATTGGCCAAGCTGTTCATATTCATTTACATTCATACAACAATTAAATGCCATGGATTAGTCCAGAAATATCTGTAGCACATTTTTCCAATGGGTATTAGTTCATCCTATTGGCTTTTAACTATGATTTGCCACCATGTTTCAATAGCACAGTGGGACCACATGATTTTCTCCAAATTAACAGTAAAGAAAAATTCACAAGTGTTAATTTTTAAAGCATAAAATATAAGAAAAAGAGTTGCTCATCCAATATCTTCCCATGAAATAAGATTATATTTCTACATTAGAAGATCACATACAGACTTACATGAAAAGCATTCTCATCCATTCAAAATTATTCATCCTACTTTTTTTAAAAATGAGACTCACGCCCTCATCTCAATCTCTTTCTTGGCATTCATTCCAGCTGCCCATCAAACTTGTTATGAAGAAATTTTTGCCCTGAATTTGCTGTTCACAGCCATAAACTAGTTACCATTTGTTTGCTTCCCAGCAAGTACTTAGGAAAGTATTGTATTGGTTATAAGTCCTCTATTTTGCTAAGTATCTTGTATCCCTCTACAGGGTTCTCTCTATAGTACCTCTTTATGAACTGAAGAGCTCCAGATTATTCCTAGCCTCTAACATTGAGGATTGACTCTATTACTCTCTTCTGACTGTCTGTGGGACCCAAATGACTACCTCCATTCATGAAATCCCAGAGCAATTTAACACAATCTCATTGTTTTTGTTGTTTGCCAGTACACATTTGTTTGGACACCGTGTTTGATGCATCAGCTCATGCTCCTTGACTCTTTTCAATTATACCTGTCCCCAGGACACGAGGAAAACCATGAAAGGCCCATCAATACCTCTTCTTTGTACTTTAGCTCCCGTTGCAAGTGTTTAACTTAAACTTTTAACAAAGCTGGAAGCATGAATTGAATTCGATACCTTTGATACAAACTGATCTTAGTTTGTAATGCAGTAACTCAATGGTTCTCAATCTCTTCCTCCTTCAATCCTGAATGCAACCCCATCAAACAGTTTATCAGTTGTTCAATTAAGATCAATTCCAAGGCCAATTTTTCCATGAATTTTCATGATATTTTCATATAGGCACTGTACCATTTTATTCATGATACTGATCCACATTAATAACACACATTTTTATATTTAACATTCTTTACTGCATTTTATTTTTGGTTTTTGGTCACCTGGAACTCATCTTTGATTTGGCTGGAATTGGTTTGTGGGTCCACTTTGCTGATGTTATAAAACATTGCTCTGAATTCACAGACTGGTATAGTTGTGTTTCCACATAAGCATGCCTCCAAAATTGCATCATGAACAAAGACATACTGTTCCTACAGAAAAAAAAAGCAAATCAAATATGATGTTAATCATTTGGACATAATTTCATTCATATTTTTACATTGTCAGCTTCAGTGCAATCTTGAAACATTGTACCAAAAATTATATTTTCAGACTTTCTGGTTACTTTTTGGGACACTAATGTTAAATATGCTTAAAGTGTTTATCAGAAATTCCACTCCATATTAAACAGGTTAAAGTGGAGAGAGGATTCACAGACCAACTTGTTCAGCTAGAAATTTGGCTCACCTGATTTTGATGGGGCAGAATACAAATTGGAAGTGGTGGAGGGATTGTCAGAGACGATGATGTGGCAGAGTAGCATGTCACCAATCTGTAGGTGACATCTGACATTGTGTTGGATGCTGCTGTTCAGGGGAGCATGTTGACAAGATATAGGCAACATAGAGAAGGCTTCATATGTTAAAATCCAGAGGCCCAATACAAATTGGTCCTCGGTCCTCATCTGAATAGTTGGTGTCAACTGCTGGTGTTTGAAAATGAGCATTCAGGTCAGGAATTGTTGATTATTTTCTAATATGAGATTTGTGATTCAGCCTATTCTAATTTTTGGAACATGATATGAATTATGAATCAACAATTAATGACCATTAACTCTTCACTCTAGCTTAATGCTCCCCAAATCTATGAAGTTTTATCTAATTATTATTTCTCTTTATTAATAGTTGCAAATAATATGAATGCAATGATGAATCAATTACCTTTGGAATGTTGGGTCGGTTTAATAAATAGATTAAAGAGTGAAGCAATGATCCAATCTGAAACTTTATTGTGTCCTTTTGAAACAGAGGGAAGAGTTTACTACAAGGGTGGGAGTTAGACAACTAATGGAAAGCTCCAAAAGAAACCTGGTGCTATTTAAGTGCAATCAGGCGATTAAGTGGATGGCATCAGATCTTGCACAAAATGAAGTCCCCAGTAAGGTGGAAACTGCTCCCCAGAGAACTGTGTCAATCAATCAGAGGTTGGTAGCTTTACTTTGCAGGAAGTGCCTCCAGGAACAGTGGGCATGCTAGTAATTTAGTGAGACCTTTACCGGGGATCATTGCTGGATTCCTGGAAGCAAGGGAGTGTCACTAAGTTAGGGTTCTGGGGGAGGGTCATGTATGAGAGAAATGGGGTCAGATGCAGGGTAGGGGGATAATGTTCAAGAGGCAGGGTCCCTTGACCAGGCAATAAGTGTTTTGAAAAAGGGACTGCCCAGGGAGGTTGCTGATAAACCCAACAGTTAATCATACTTCAGGAGATATAGGAAACCTGAACCACCAATAAATTCCAGTGAGTTTAGGGATAACAACTTTGAAGTAGCTCAATAGTGAGCCTAAATAGCCAATGGGTAATTCCTCATATTGACACTTTCTTGCTGCTGGCTAAATGGGGAGACAATTTTTAAAATAGGCTCTGCTCCATGCAGTCTATTCCTGATGTTTTGCAGGCCCAAGCATCACCTAGTCTACTCTAACAGGAAGAAGTTGGATGGGCCAAATGATCTCCTTCTGAGCTATATCATGGTATAACTCAGCTAGCACCCCACTACAGAACAAGTTTTTGTACAGATAAAGGATGACCTGAAAATAGGCCGATGTTAGATCTTCTGGCCAAATCAAGGTTGAAATCAATGTTCAAATTTTAATATTCACTACTAGTTGGAAGCTAATTCTGAGCCAATAAGACTGAAATATAGTAACTTTAGGTTGACAGACAAATCTACGATAGTAAGAATACTACTCAAATCATTGCTATAATTTTTCAGTGTCACAATAATACATCTGAAATAAAATAAATTAGCCTAGGGTGCACAAGGTGTGCTGAGTTGTCAGTATCTAAAGGTTAAATTGAAAATTATAACAAAAGTTCTTTATATCCAGTATGTTTTCTGTCCCTTAGTCCGGGGATGCCATTGGTAAAGCAGTAGGATTTCAGCTAATTAGAAACTGGGACTAATAGAGGTGGATTGGAGCTCTCTCAGCAATACAGTCCCAAAAAAAATTGCTTCCAGAATAAAGATACACACCATAGAATCTTGTACTTGATGTTTGCAGGTTGATTTCTCCAAAGGTCATTGAGTTGAATATACTGCCAGTATATTTTCCAATTTTTTTTATTCTTTACATCATACAAAAAATATTCCATATGAAGACTAACTACAATTGTGTAGATCCTTTTTTTACAATAAATGTGCTTTAAATAGAAGCATTTTGTTCGCCATTTCTTTATTTGTTCACTTGTGAGCATCGCTGGCTGGCCCAAAATTTATCACCCATTCCTAATTGCCCTTGAGAAGGTGGTGGTGAGCTGCCTTTATGGACTGTTGAAGTCCATGTGCTGTAGAAAGACCCACAATGCCATTAGGGAGGGAATTCCAGGATTTGGTCCTAGTAATAGTGAAGAAATGGCGATATATTTCCAAATCAGGATGGCGAGCGGCTTGGGCGGGAACTTGTAGATGGTGGTGTCCCCATGTTTCCGCTGCCCTTGTCCTTCTGGATGGAAGTGGATGCTGTCTCAGGATCTTTAGTGAATTTCTGCAGTGCATGTTGTGGATAGCACATACTACTGCTTCTGAGTGTCAGTAGTGGAGGAAATGCATTAATCAAGTAGGCTGCTTGATGGTGTGAAGCTTCTTGAGCGTTGTTGGAGCTGCATTAATCCAGGGAAGTGGGGGTATTCCATCACACTCCTGACTTGTGCCTTGTAGATGATGGATAAACTTTGGGAAGTCAGGATGTGAGTTATTTGCTGCAGTATTCCTAGCCTCTGACCTGCTCTATAGCCACTGTGTTTATGCGGTGAGTCCAGTTCAATTTCTGATCAATGGTAACCCCCAGAAAGTCGATTAATGGGGAATTCATTGATTGTAACACCATTGAATGTCAAGGGGCAATGGTTAGCTTGTCTCTTATTGGAGATGGTCATTGCCTGGCATTTGTGTGGCATGAACGTTACTTGCCACTTATCAGCCCAGGCCTGGATATTGTCTAGATCTTGTTGCCTTTGAACATAGACTACTTCAGTGTCTGAGGAGTTGCGAATGGTGCTGAATATTGTGCAATCATGAGCAAACATCTCCACTTCTGACCTTATGATGGAGGAAAGGACATTGATGAAGCAGCTGAAGATGACATTACCCTGAAAAACTCCTGCAGAGATGTCCTGGAACTGGGATGATTGACCTCCAAAAACCATGACCATCTTCCTATGACTCCAACCATTCGAGAGTCTTATGGACAAGACCAATATCCCTTCATATGTATCAAGGAGAACACCTAGACCCCAACATTTATCTTATTTAAAGTGTAAGATGCTGTGTTCCAGATGTAATTCAATAGCTCACGCTACTTGGCTTTAAGTAAAATATACTTTATTCTTACACCCAGTTAAAATACAAACAAATGAAAGAAGAATCAATATAACTTTAGCTATAACTTACCAATAAACTTAACAGAATAACAGATAATTTAATTACTAAACAGCAACTGTTCCAATATAATAACATCCCATAAATGCATCCTTGGCAAAGACAAATGCAGCAAAATAGATTATCTCACATGCAATGTTTTACCAGTCCAGGAGAAAAGAACCCCAAGAGTAAATTCCAGCAGCAGGGAGAGACATCAGCTTTTTACTGTGGCAGAGAGGTATATAAGCTTCCACAACCAACTTCAAAACCCCAACAATTACTGGAAGCTAAACTAAAACCCTGGTTCTGTGGGAGCCTGGCTCCACCCATTCATGCTGCTTCTTTTGTTCTAACTTAAAAAAAAATCAAAGGGCCTCACAAGCTATTGCCTTTGAATCGACAACCCCTCACCTCTGTCTCAAAATCTCTCTTCAAAAAAAAAACAGGACAACGTATACCTCTTAAAACCACAGTATCATCACAACAGTTTGCCCCTGATTCCTCCTGATTCAGTTTTCTAGGACTCCTTCAAGACACACGGTCAAATGTAGCCTTGATGTTAAGAGCTGTCGGTCTCACCTCACCTCAAATTCAGCTCTTTTGTCCATGTTTGAACCAAGGCTGTAATGAGGTCAGGAGCTGAGTGACGTTAACAAAACCCAAACTGGGCATCAGTGAGCAGCTTATTTTGGATCAGGTGCTGCTTGATAGCACTGTTGATGACATGTTCCATCACCTTACTGATAATTGAGAGTAGACTGATGGGGCAGTAATGGCTGGGTTGGATTTGTCTTGCCTTTAGTGCACAGGACATACCTGGGAAATTTTCCACATTGTTGTGTAGTTGCCAGTGTTGTAACTGTTTTGGAAAGGCTGGGCTAGGGGTCTGACTAGTTCTGGAACACAAATCTTCAATACTATTGTCGGGTTCCAATGCCTTTGTAATATCCAGTGCTTAAAACTGTTTCTTGAGTGAATCGAATTGGCTGAAGACTGGTATGTGCAGTGCTGGGACCTCTGGAGGAGGTCTAGATGGATCATCCAATATTTTGGTTGAAGATTGCTGCAAATCCTTCCGGTTTATCTTTTGCACTGATACGTTGGCCTCTTCCATCATTAAGAATGGGCATATTTGTGGAGCCCCCTCTTCCAGGGAGCTGTTTAATTTTCCAACACTATTCACAACTGCCTATAGCAGAACTGCAGTGCTTAAATCTGATCTATTGTTTGTGGGATCACTTGGCTCTGTCCATCACTTGCTCCTTATGCGATTTGGCATACAAGTAGTCTTGTAGCTTCACCACATTAACATTTCACTTTTATGCCTGATGCTGCTCCTGGCATGCACTCCTAAATTTTCCATTGAAGCAGGATTAATCTCCTGGCTTGATGTTTGAATGTGGGATAGGCCAGACCATGAGGTTGCAGATTGTGCTGAAATACAATTCTGTTGCTTTTGATGGCATATATTGTCTCAAGGATGCTCAGTCTTGAGTTGCTAGATCTGTTTGAAGTCAGTCTCATTTCGCGTAGTGATAGTGCCACACAACACGATGGAGGTTGTTCTCAATGTGAAGCCACAACTTTGTCTCCATAAGGACTGTGCAGTGGTCACTCTTACCGATACTGTCATGGACAGCTGCATCTGCAGCTGGCGGATTGGTAAAGATGAGGTCAAGTATGTTTTTCTTGTTGGTTCCCTCACCACCTGCTGCAGAACAGTCTAGCAGCTATGTCCTTTAGTACCCGAGCAGCTCTATCAGCAGGGTCACTCTTGGTGGTGGACATTGAAATCCACCACCCAGAGTACCTTTCACACCCTTACCAACCTCAGTGCTTTCTCCAAGTGTTGCTTAACATTGAGGAGTACTGATTCTTCAGATGAGGGAGGACAGCATGTGGTAATCAACAGGAGGTTTCCTTGCCCATTTTTGACCTGCTGCTGGAGTCGGGAGTCAATGGTGAGAACTCCTTGGCAACTCCCTCCCAACTGTATACCACTGTGTTGCCACCTCTGCTGGTTCTGTCCTGCTACTCAGGCAGCACACATTCAGGGATAGTGATGGTATTATTCCATGAGTATGGCCATGCCAGGCTGTCAGGCACAATTTCAATGATACAATAATTGGAAACATTGTGAACAGTGAGGAGGATAGTGTAGAACTTCAAAAGGACTTAGATAAGTGAAATGTGCAGATAGGTGGCAGATGAAATGTAATACTAAGAAATGTGAAGCAATTCATTTTAATAGGAAGAATGTGGAGACAGAATATGAAACAAAGGTATGTGTCTTCTTTAGATTGGAGTCAACATGTTAACTGTTTCTCTCTCCACAGATGCTACCAGATCAGCTAAGTTTCTCTAGCTGTTTCTGCCTTTAAATGGCTTGTTTTAACATTTGCAAAATGTTCCTCAGAAAAATATTTCCGAGATTTAATAGAAGTGACATTTTTAAGTTTCCATGCACATGTTCTGGAGCCATTTGTGCGAGGTTTTGATGATGGTTCGGAAGACTAAAATTTTAGGAAAGCATTGCTCCTTCTGACATTAAAGTTAGCAAAAAGCATAAATATAAAGAGGGTCTAAACACAAATATACATTCTTGTACTGTTAAAATAACAAACAGTGCATGTACAGAATAGTGGAATATATCAAAACATCAGAATTTTAGCATCAACTGCCAGTTGCATTCACAATTATGGTGTTACCCACAACAATAGTATCTCTCAATTTCAATGCCCCAGTTCATTCCAGCCACCCACAAGGATTTTGCAAGCTTCAGGCAGTCTGGTATGTGTCATGTCAATCTCCAGTTAATTGATATAGTGACTAAACATGCAAAATAAATACTTGCTTTGCCTGAGTGCTGTGCAAGAACAGCAACAGGAAACCAGTTCTATAATTCAGCTGGTTTTGCAAAGCTATTGATGCCAAACGAATACAAGACTGCTTGATCACCAGCACCTTTCATTAATGATGAAGAATATTCTCCTGCGTTTGGTGATAGTATCCAAATTGAGTGAAAGAAGTTATCCACACACTTTGGTTTCAAGTTAATAAGTTCATCATGCATTGCCAGTACAAATTAAACACTAAACATACATTTCCCCTGATTTCTGCCTGCCTTGCCTCTCCTCGTTCCTTATCTTCCATCTCGTTCCATCCTACCCAGGATTGTGACAATGATTTGATGTAAGTTTTACAAGTTCACCTTCCTGTGCCACAGATGCACTTGATAGTGGCATTGGGATTGATTTTGGGATATTGGGAACTATGTTGTAACCATCAGCATCAATTACTCCATGTACCCATGCAAGTCCATATTATATATAAATGACCCAAGGGTTTCAGTCTAAAAGTTCATAATTTTTCCTATGACTTGTATAAAAATCAACCTTAAGGTTTTAGGGATGAAAACCCAAAAACTATAGAACCAAACATTTTGAGATATAATGTGCATATACTTTTCGGGGAATGGATCTTGAACTTCACCTGATGAAGCTCCAAAAGCTTGTGATTTCAAATAAACCTGTTGGACTATAACCTGGTGTCGTGTGAGTTCTGATTTTGTCCACCCCAGTCCAACACCAGCATTTCCATAAATAGAGACCAAGCAGATGCTGCCCTTGAAATAGGAATGCATACCCAAACAACATCAAGACACGATGTCGATCCACAAAATGTCAAGTCAAATGCAATGATCAGATAATGATGATGACCAACACATTGACACACAACGTTAGCTGACATTCAGCACAGTGAACCAAAAAAACATGTTGGCACAATGGTAGCAAGAGAAGCCTTTGCCACTGAACAGATTATATGTTCACAGATGGAAGATCAATGTAACCTACATACAAAACTGGATATTGATGCAGGTCGAAATGTCCTTCCACTTTGTACTCTGAAATGTATGTACCTATAGAAGTTGAAAGAATGATTTGAGCTGCCTACTCTGAATATACCCAATAAACGTTCACTTTGTACTCCTCATCGATACTGCAATCTGGCATAATCCATACTAGAGATGGAAGGATAGCACTTATGACCTCGAAGGCCACTCACATTTGCAAAGGAAATTGGGCATCATACATCTGAACTTTGTGCTACATGTATTTTGGCACATTCAGGGGTTCATTTTATGAGGCTGCACTGAGGAGTTCCCTTTGCGAGCTGTGCATATCAGAATATTGTTGATGAGCAAGTGGTGAATATATCTAATGTAGTCATAAGTTTCCAATGTGCATGGCTGGGTGCAAGGCTTCTGCTGGCTGTAGGAACGTGAAAAATTTATTCCTAGAATACAGCCATTGGAGTAATGCCACACATTAATTTGAACAGACTGCAAACCCTTTGGTTTTCTATCAAAATGCAGTTCAATTAATGTTTTTATTCCTGAAAGCAATAAAATATATTTTCAACACTTATCAGATAAATCAAAGGGGTAATCTTTAACAGACACATTTGAAAATGCAAAATAAAAGAGAAGACTATTATCAATAAATCATATGATCAATACCTCTGTCTGTACCATGTTGACCCTCTGTGAGCGAAGTTCTCTGACACAATTGTAAACATCCACGACACCTTCACTTTCTGCCATATCAAGCATGATGTCAATGGCGATAAAGCAGCCAGTCCTCCCTGCACCCGCACTAAAACAGGAAAATATTAAAATAATGATGGAACATGAGCACACTGCTTGAAGTAGTCTGATAGTTCAAGATAATGCTCTCTTTAAGAGATGTAATTTTTTTAAAAAATTGCATCAAATAGAACAAAATTCAGAGACATGAGAAATGTTTTTACTTTTTCTATTTGTTGCAGTAATGGTAATCCTCAATGGAGTTGCCTATTTACTGCAAACAATACAAAAATGGTGATAAACATTAATTGAGTAACAAATGGAACACTTGCGTGCCAACTGATGAATAAAATGTGTACTGTGACGATGACATACCTGCAATGCACAATAACAGGACCAACGTCAGTTGGGTTCAGGAACTTTACTTGTCTTACAAATCCCAATAACCCTGTCGCATAGCATGGTACTCCATGATCAGGCCAACTAGTAAAGTGGAACTGTCTAATCTCTCGAATTTCATGATTACCTTTCTATAAAGAGAATAAATTGAAAAGAGGCATTCATGTCTTAAAAGGAAAAAGTCTTCTCCAACTTATTTGATAGAACACATTTATTTAAACACATGCAAAGAATAAGCAAAAATCTAGGAGTATACAGGACTGGAAAATAATAGCAGCTCATGGGGCTAGTTGTAATGTTCGTTCTTGAAAATAACTTTCTGCTGCAAAATTAGCAATGATAATCAGGCTATTGCTGAGTTGGATAGCACACCATAATGGTAGTCTTATGCCTAATCAGCACAATAATTAAGTTACCAAGTTTGGTTGTCCAATATTTGTTTAACACATTAGTTTTTAAAGGGTTCTGATGCAAGGTATTGATCTGAAATGTTAACTCTGTTTGTATCTCTAGTGTTGGCACCAGACCTGTTGAGTATTAGCAGTGTGCAGAGCTGGATGAACACAGCAGGCCAAGCAGCATGATCGGAGCAGAAAGGCTGACGTTTCGGGCCTAGACCCTTCATCAGAAAAGGCTTTTCTGATGAAGGGTCTAGGCTCGAAGGGTCGAGGCTTGAAACGTCAGCCTCTCTGCTCCGATGATGCTGCTTGGCCTGCTGTGTTCATCCAGCTCTGCACCTTGTTGTCTCGGATTCTCCAGCATCTGCAGTTCCTACTATCTCTGAGTATTAGCAGTATTTTGCTTTTATTTCATATTTCAGCATCCACAGTATTTTGCTTTTATAATTGTAAGGCAACTAACAACTATGTCCTTACATACCACATGACATTGTATTCATTAATTAGTGTGAAAGCACTTACTGATCCTCAATGATGTCTCAAAAAAGATTACCAACTTTTGGAATGATAATTTTTGTCACGATTTTTCAAATGCCGGAACTGCTTGTCATGGTGAACTTATTTAATTTGAATTCTAAATTTCATCGCCATTTTCTCTTCTTCACTCTGAGAATATACATTTGCTTTCCGAAGAATGTTTACATTTGCACTGCAAGTATAATAATATGCACGGTGCCATAATCTTCTACCCAAGTATGGATTTGTGGCAACAATGTTGGAGTCTCAGCATGATGAACAGCTCACTAGACAGCAAACACTGCTGTACTCTGCCTCACATTCCTCCGTATTGCCTGGATAAGCACTCAAACTGATTGAACCTTCACAGGTAATAACCTGATCGAAGCAGAAGCAATGATAGGCCAAGTAAGCACAACATAACATGGACTAAACTCTATACTGAAGCAACTTTAGCATTTTGTGCAACTCAGATATCACTTCATGTATTTTAGGAATCTCAGCCAAAATTTGGCCAACATACATATCGTGGGTGTAAACTTGTCTCACAAACTGGTGGTGATTGTCCTTATATTGCAGAAAATAACAAACCCAAAGGGGATGTTTCATGTATTCAATTTTGCTTCTGAATTTTTTGTATAATTCAAGTCATGAAAGCAAATTGAACCATTTTGAATTAGGATTTTTTATACTCCTCAAATGCCTAACTTGCGAATTAACCATTTTAAAATCCATTTATTTATTCAAAATGTTGCAACTTGTTTATGGCTTGTAAATGGCTAGGCTTTTTGCATATTGTGTTGGATTGTGGACTGCAGCTTTATATTTTACCCGGACATGGAAAAAGAGTTCAATACTACTTTCTTGCTCCATTTAATGCTCTTCATGAGATTCAAGACCACTTCCTTCTTGATCTCAAATTGCCCTCGCATATTAGCATGCTACACATAAATCTCACTATCCTCCATATCCTTCTCCAGGGTGAATATTGTTGCAAAGTACTCATTTAGGGTCTCATCCACATCCTCTGTCTCCAGGCACAAGACCCCTCCTTTAGGCTTGATTGGTCCTACCTTCTCATTAACTATCTAATTGTTTTAATATACCTATAGAATGCTTTGGGATTCTCTTTAACCCTACTTGCCAAGGCCATTTCATGGCCCCTTCTTGCTCTCCTAATTCCCTATTTTCTTGCTTTCCTTAAAGGCCCTGTCTGATTTTAGCTTCCTAAACCTTTCATATGCTTGTTTTTCCCTTTTGACTAAATTCACAACCTCCCTTGTTATCGAAAGGTTCCTTACCTTTCAATCATTGTCCCTCTGGAACATGCCAGTCCTGAACTCTCATCAGCAGGGGATGATGGGGTGTGGGGGGCGATGGCATAGTGGTATTATCGCTGGACTGTTAATCCAGAGACCCAGATAATGTTCTGGGGACCCGGGTTCGAATTCTGCCACGGCACATGGTGGAATTTAAATTCAGTAAATATCTGGAATTAAGAATCTAACGATGACCGTGAATCCATTGTTGATTGTCGGAAAAACCCATCTGGTTCACTAATGTCCTTTAGAGAAGTAAACTGCCATCCCTACCTGGTCTGGCCTACATGTGACTCCAGACCCATAGTAATGTGGTTGACTCTTAACTGCCCTCTGGGCAATTAGGGATGGGCAATAAATGCTGCCTAGCCAGTGATCTCCCTCATCCCGTGAATGAATGAAGAAAAAGAAAGGTCTTTAAACAACTCCCACATGTCAAATATAGACTTGCCTGATAACAGCTCCTCCCAACTAACATTTCCTAGCTCCTGCCTAATACTGATGTAAGTTTTCCCCAATTTAGTACCTTGCAGCAAGTTCCTGACTTCATCCTTGTTCATAGCTATCTTAAGACTTAAAGAGTTGCAATCACTGTTTCCAAAATGTTCTCCCACTGAAAGGTCAGTCACCTGGTCAAGGTCATTAGTCAATACAAGGTCCAGTATCGCCCCTCCTCAAGTAGGACAATCCATGTATTGTTTCAAGAAACTCTCTTGAATGCACTTAACAAATTCCGCCCCAATTAAGTCTGAAACTCTAAGGGAGTCCCAGTCAATATTGGGGAAGTTAAACACTATGATAACGCCATTTTTGTTGCACCTTTCCATAGTCTGCCTCCACATTTGTTCCTCAATCTCTCAGTGGCTGTTGGGAGGCCTATAGTTTAATCCAATCAGAGTGATTGAACCCATCTTATTTTTAAACTGTACCCATACTGTGTCGTGGATAGCTCTCCTATATGTCCTCTTTGAGTGCAGATGCAACATTCTCCCTCATTAGTAATGCAACTCCTTCATCTCTTTTACCTTCCTCTCTATCTCATCTAAAACAATGAAATCTTGGAACCTAAAGCCAGTTCTGTCCCTCCCTCAACCAAGTCTCTGTAAAGGCTACAACATTATAGTTCCATATGTACTGATCCAGGCTCTAAGCTCGTCTGCCTTACCTATAATACTCCTTGTGTTGATAAAGACACATTGTGTTCATTTACCTGTCTCTGCCTGTCCTTTCTTTCTGATTTACTGGTCCTAACATGTGCCTTTCCGGCCTGTTTCCACACTGTAGGGATTCTATGATTCTATGATTCAATCCCTCCACTTGCTGACCTGCTGCTCTGGTTCCCAGCCCCCTGTCACAGCACTCAATCACTTTGAACCTATCTGGATATTTACAGCATCCCTGCCTTGCCATGCCTTTGTGTGGTTTGTCCCTTCAGCCTGAGCTATGAGGCTCGTATTATTTCTGTCTTGCCTCTACTCAGGCATGATGGTGGCTGGATAGGACTCTCCAGTCGGAGCTCTTCTGCTCGCCAGTTCCTTTCCCAACTCCTTTTCCTTTCTTTCTTTATTTTTCTCCTCTTGCAGTACTTTTCTCTTCCTGTTCCCCCCACCTCCAAGCCTTTGACTACCCCTACCTGGAGAAAGGAATCAAGGAAGACCAGTTGCGAATGGAGACTGGGCGGGAGCTGAGTGCGCAGGCCGTGACACATAGCGGCAGCAGAGTGAGCACGGGCCGAGTCGCGCACTGAATTCCTGGAGCAACAACAGCTGAACAAGCGTGGGCTGGGCTGGGTGGCAGACCGATGGAGGGGCCGAGTCCCAGAGTGATGGCGGGAGGGGAATCCCGAGTCCTGGAGAGACAGCAGCAAGGGAATCCCGAGTCCCGGAGCGACTGCAGGAGGGGAATCCTGAGTCCCGGAACGACGTCAGGAGGGGAATCCCGAGTCCCGGAGTGACGGTAGGAGGGGAATCCCGAGTCTTGGAGCGACTGCAGGAGGGGAATCCCGAGTCCCGGAGAGATGGCAGCAAGGGAATCCCGAGTCTCGGAGCGACTGCAGGAGGGGAATCCTGAATCCCGGAGCGACTGCTGGAGGGGAATGCTGAGTCCCGGAGTGATGGCACGATGGGAATCCCGAGTTCCGGAGCGACTGCAGGAGTGAAATCCCGAGTCCCAGAGCGACGGCAGGAGGGGAATCCCAAGAACCGGAGTGAATGGCAGGAGGAGAATCCAGAGTCCCGGAGTGACGGCAGCAAGAGAATCCCAAGTCCCCAAACGACTGCAGGAGGGGAATCCCAAGTCTAGGAGCGGCACAAGGTGGAGTGAATCACAGTACAGTGCAGCTTACCTTGTTGCTGCTTAGTGCCGCTGAAGAGCGGACTGGAGGCTAGTACAATGCAGGACAGTTGCTGGACTTGGGCCTGGTGCCACGTGCTGAGCTGCTGCTGTTTGGAACTCTTTACCGGACTGTAATGTAAATCCTGTTCACAATGTTAGAACTACCTCATTCCTAACTCATTCTCAGGCACTGTAAGCAATGCTTATGCTTTCCTTTTAATCCTCTTTTGTGTAACAACACTATTTCTTTTAGTCTGTAAGATTTGTACCTAGGTATTTGTACGTAAAATGGTGCCATTAAAGGCAGCCATTGTAAACATGTTTCACTGTACTCCTGTACTTCTGTACTGGAGTACAAGGGACAATAAAGAATATTGTATTCTAGACGTTCAGTGTAGACACAAAGCCAGGAAGCTTTTCATGGTTGCTAGCAGACCTTGGTCAACTCAAGCAGGATGGTCTTCACTCTGAGGGCCTTGGCACAATAAGTCAAGAGCAGTCTCAGGTACCAATCCAGAGGCTTGGGGACAATCAGTCAGCCTCTCAGGGTGGTTGGAGTTAGGA